TCTGACGATCATAAAACAATTTACGTTAAATAATCAAATCTCTCCTATTTTTCACCGAGTTTGAAAACTTAATTTACCTTAACGTGATAATGCGACAAGAAATGGACGAAAAGCCGCTGAATACTTTACCTCAAAATTTACACAGAATTTAGCAATTTACCAAATATCAGTTGTGACAATATAAATAACATTCATACTTACCCCAACCGGTCCGGTGATACTGCCGGCCAGCCGATCTTCGTCGAGCGAAGTTTTACCTTTTCTCCTACACTTACCTTTCCTCCTGGCCATTTTGTGTTTGAATCGAATCTTCTTTGGGCGCATTTTAACGTAAACTGGCGAGGGTCGCCAAATATGTACTGAACCTTTTACATATGCCTATGACGAATGTCCTAAACTTATATAATTTTGAACGCTTAATTCAAGCGTGGGCTCGAAATAGGACATAACGTTTTCGTCTAACTTAGTGGATAACGCAATCCAAAGACTCCACGGTTCGTGTCAGAATACGTAAGGTCGCGCAAAGAAAACCCAAGTCCACATAATGACCAGTTAAATGATTTATTCGTTGACGCTAGGTAACTACATATTCTAAGTGAAGCTTCCAACTCCTAACTACGTCTCGCTCCGTACATCGTCGCTTCCAACCTCCTCCTCCGCGGCTTCCTTCTACCTGTCTCTAGTATATCTCCCCGTTCAATTCTCATCACTTACTTTAAATACTATTTTGTTATCTTTACATGGATCCAGTGCTGCACTTGTATGAGATGTACGTCAAATCTAATTACCTCTAATTGTATAATTAATTTCTTTACTTCGGCGTCATACATAGAGACCGCCGTATTACTCAAAAGCTATTGCACTATAACACNCTCCTACACTTACCTTTCCACCTGGCCATTTTGTGTATGAATCGAATCTTCTTTGGGCGCATTATAACGTAAACTGGCGAGGGTCGCCAAATATGTAATGAACCTTTTACATGCTGTCGATCCTTGCTTGGATTTCTCTCATTTGGCCATTCACATTAATTTTTTGCTTGTCTCTAAAGCTCCTTGATTTCATTTATCGGAGAATAAAATTACATTTTGTCAACATTAGTTTTTACCTTCTACAAACGGCGTCCAACAATCATTTCCAGTTCATAACGTGTCGCAGATACGCTCGCCGATATATATCGCCAAAATTAAGAGCTAGGCTAAAAGTATCGTTTCTAGCTTTTTTTCTTTTAGTAATGATTTTTTCGTACAAATGCATTTCTCAATTAATTTAGATGATTTGATTTAGTCTTTCACCCATTTATTAGGTATACATAAACAAAAAAGAAAGACGAATAATATTAAATATTTCATGATGCTTTTATTTCAGCTGAACATGCACCAATGGCTGTAACTGTCTTTTGACCAACACAACGTCGCCGCCACACACACGACAAACACACGACTTGTAGGCACTATCTAGCAACTGCCCACTGTGCCCACTGTACCCAGTAGCTACGGTTTCTTCCTCACAATCACTGTCAGAAGACTCCGAGGGCTGTTCAAAGTCCTTCAAAATCTTACGGGCCCTCACTCTAGGTAGATTCTCTCTCTCGTCATCCGACTGAACAAATACCGGTTTTCCTCCAACCGCCCACATACTCTCAAAATTTTCTTTCTTTCCCCTGGAAATGGACTTTTAACACGAACTTTTCTCTTCCCCATAGCGTACTCGACTTCTTTACTGCTTAGCTGATGTAAGACTTATGACGTATCACCGCACACCTAATCGGCTTATAACTCATTAACTATGCTCTGCCCCCCTCATGGCAACGGCCCTTAGCAACAGAGTTGTCAGCCTGACTGGGGCATGTGCCGGTTGAAAAACTCATCAAAAGACACATTTTGCGGTGCAAATTCAAAATAATTATTACATCCAACGTTAGATACTTTTTTGATTAATAGAAACACACAAAAAAACTCAAAAACATGATTTTAAGCGTAGTTAACCCTATTACCCACCTTAAGAAAGCACAAACTTACCTCCTCTAGTTGTAATTTCCAGTTTAGTACTCCAAGGTCCAACATCTACAGTGACTGCTCTTACTCTAAAACTGTAAGTTGTAAAGGGCATTAAACCAGTCATTGCCACATATATATCAAAGACATTCCCTTCCTTTGATACCAGACTTTCTTGCTGACACATGGCACTCACAGGACTTAAGAGATATCTGTATTCAGTAATCCTCCCATTCTTGCATTCACAACTTGGTTCACTCCAGTAAAAGGTAGCTGTATCACTATTGAATCTCAGCATGCCTGGAGGGCAGCCAGGAGCTAAAATATAGTAACATGAAAATGCCAAATTTGTCAAAAAATTGAATGCACAATGACTAAACTATAGTTACCTAATAAAAGCTAAAATTATCAAAAATTTTAATGCACAACAGCTTAAATGTGGAAAAGTTTAATGCACAATGACCAAAATATAGTAACTGTTACATGAAAAAGCCAAATTTGTCAAAAATTGAATGCATGCACAGTGGCCAAAATATTGTTCCATGAAGAAAAACTAAAACTGTCAAAATTTTTTATGCACAATAACTTTCATGAGCATCAGTGCACCAGTAACAAATTGATCAGTTACCAAAACCTTTCAATTACTTCAAAATATGCAATTATCACACTAAAATCTACATCTTTACCTGCTTCTGAAGACTTCACAATTAGTGAAACTGGTTCCCCCTCAACTGCTCCAGAAACTGCTTTAATGGATATATTATACCGTGAATTTGGGTATAATTTTGAAATTGTGTAATGTGTTGTTATCTCACTCAGTAATGGAGGTGTCTGGTGATCTGACAATTGCCTGCATTCCCCCTGTAACCTGACTGCTGTAATATTGTACCCTGTAATAACACAGCCAGTAAATCTAGGAGGCTGCCAATGAACAGTGACTGACGTGGAGGTTATAGAGCCTGCTGTCAGTGTGGCAACTTGTGCAACAACTGAAATAGAAAGAAATGAATTGTACTATGCCAATCTTAAAGGTATAACAAATGTCCTTTTTTGGCAAAAAAAAAGATTTTCTGGAGTAAAAGGCAATTTCCCAGGGATCGTCCTGGGTCAAAATCTGGTTGTGCCATTTTGGCCCCTTTGGTAAAAAAAGTGGGCCATTCTTAAAAAAATGTGTGCCGTGAATTATGTAGAGAAAATTCATTATATTTCAATATTTTTATATGATTTAAAACAATGAAAAATGGTTTGATGCTATTACTCTGAAGTCCTAAATAATTGTAGTGTGTGGAAAAATCTTCCTAAATTAACAACTGCACAGTCCATAAAATTGTACTTATAATGGAAAAATCTTTCAGACTTAATAATTGCACTATGCCGAAGAATTGCACTGCATGGAAAAGATTGACAATTCCCATCTTTATTGTAAAAAAGCCACTGCTCTCAGGCAGGCCAGTAGCCAGCAATTTCAAAAGGGGGGTTCTTTTTCTGAAAAAGTGGACCTTTTTTCATAAAAACGTCATGTAGCTAGATCAAATTTTACCCAAAATGGACCTTTTCCCAGCAAAAGGGGTGGTTCTTTCAAACCCCCTGAAGCCCCCCCGCCCCCCCCCTCCCGGCTACAGTCCAGAGTCTGATTATAATTTTTCTTCAAAATATTTGCATTTTTTTAACCTGGGAGAAACCTGTCATAAATATATTTATTCTTACATAAAATCTAGCCAGCAACAACACAACATTACAAAAATAAGTTAGCATACCTATTAATGAATTTACACATTAAGTATTTGTGATTATTACACTGCTGCAGGGCTTGACGCTTATTTTTCAGGTCACCTGTCAAGTCAGGCTTACTGCTAACAAGTTTCACCTGTCCCCAAATAATTTCCACTTATACAGCCCCTCCCCCACCCAAAAAAAGGTGCAATTTTTTCAATATTTTCATNGTACAGCCCCTCCCCCCCCAAAAAAAAAGGTGCAATTTTTTCAATATCTAAGCTAGTTCATTTAGATACATATAGTGGACAGTTTTTCATCCTGACTGTGCCATTGTAGATTTTCTGTATCAAAAATGATGTTGTCCCTCATTTTGAATTTTGACATGCAGCACCGGTAAAGGTGCAATATTACATAAAATATCCGTTAAAATTAGTTAAGAGCGCCCATCTAAAAAGCTAATGAATACTTCTCCTTTTCACTTATCAACTACTCAACATACCGGTATGCAGTCTGACGGAAGCCATATTTGTTTACCCAGCACGTGTAGTCATGTGTTCTCAGAGGTTTGTGTACAGTTTGAGCGGCCTGTTTATGAGTCTTGAGCAGCATGTTTTTCATTGACCCGTAGTTGTTTCAGTTTCAATATATTTTTTGTGAAATGGGTCACATGTAAGCCCTCACAACATCGCTATGCACACTTCAAGCGACATCATAATGTTTGTAGATCTTTATTACAAAAAAATACTGTTTGCTATTTGTACGCGCCAGTATGGCACAGGTTAAAATCATACTTGCGCCTTTCAGAAAAGGGTCGCGCATTTGGCGCAACCCAGGATTATCCCTGATTTCCCATAGTTATCAACAGTGACTAAAACTGTTTCAACATTCAGAAATTATCCCTATTTTTTGTTAGACTCTCTTAAAGGATCATTACAAAAAAAACTTTTAAAAAGAGTTTATTATGGAGGGTAGCCATCTAAAGAGGACACATTGTCTGATGACAAATAGATTCCAGAATAACTGTAATAACTGCCATTTTGGTGCTAAATTAGAGTTTATTTTATTTGCATGTTTTTTTTTTTTTTGTTTTTTTTTTGTGCATGAATGGTCACTGAAAGAGAACTTGTAAAACCATCTCTAGTCTCACAGACAAAGTTAGAGTCATTTGCAGATCTAAAGCTATAAACGTATCCACTGATAGNTTGTTCATATAGAATGATCTATCGAACTTATCTACGACCTGCCGGTAATAAAGTACAGTAATCAATACATCACTCTCTTAAGTACTTACTTGAGTTTTTGATCTCTGACAAAGTCTTTGTTCTCTAAATTACTTTCCCATGGTAACCGACCACACAGCCATTGTAGTAGGCAATATCCAAGAATTTCTATGTCACCCCTTCTTGAAGGTGCTGAAAATGAAGAGCAATTACCACTGGTAGTTTGGAAGGGCTAGACTTCAAACTGATGATCATGATGATGATGATATGATTTAACTTTAAGCTTTCCTTCACATTTTTGAAATAAATAAATAAATAAATAAATAAATAAATAAATAAATAAAACTAGAGAACAAAGCCAATAAATACACAGACACCATAAATGAAACAAGGCAGCAAAGCTGACAAATGTTCAGACATTCAGACGCAGAATAATTACTTTAAATGGATCAATCGTGCCACTTTTGGAAAGCAAGCTACTTCTTTACCAAACAAAGCAACTCAGTAAATTTACAGTAAAACAAAAATAGTTTGGCAGTTATGGGGTGAATGTCATGTGTCAGACTGTGACAGCACAGACAGACAGACCGATCAGTGTATATACAGACATTTTAGGTGTAAGACACTGTAAGTGTCTGTATATAATCAGCTATACTGACCTGCCCCAACATGAGCATCTCTACTGGTGAATTCTATTGTCCCATCATGTGCTTTTCTGGGGTCCTCTTTGTATTCTTTGTGCTTTCCATCACATGAGAATTTGAATGCAAGACCATAATCAACTAAATACACCTAACAGAAGAGAAAAATATTTTACACACAATTTGCAATTATGCTGTAATCCAGAATTCACAAGAAAGAGCTTTTAATAAAATTTAATTGCTCAAAATGGCTAATGGCTTCTGTGCGATTAATCTTATATCCAGTTTCAAGCTAGATCACATGCTGAAGAACCCATGTCACAAATTCAGTCTGCCAAAATACATTTTAGTCTACTGGAGATCTGGGGCACCAGGGTCTAAGAATCTCCTGATCCAAAGCAGCCTTAGAGACCTGTAACTGAACAAGTTTACCTAATTTTACTAGTCTGGCTTTCTGGGGCCCTGAGTAAACATCTCTGACTATCAAAGAACATACCTAACATTGTATGCATAAGACTTTTGTCACATCTTTTTTATACCTGGTCTGTGTCTTTAAATCCTTCCAGCATATTTGATGCTTTTATATCTGCATGGACATATTCCTTGGAATGGATATACTCTAAGGCATCCAGCTAAAAAGGTAAAAACTAGTTTATTGTACCATTATGATAAAAACTACATATTTAAATAGCAATGTTGCCAGCTAAATCCCTGTTAATGAACACAGTGTTTATACCTCTTGGTCAATATCTTATTCTCTAAGTCAATATTTAAAGATATCTGGCAAAAAATGACTCAATCTTGTCAAATTTAAATAAACTTTCAACCAAATAATCACAGATGTATAAACGTGGCAACCTATAGATGCTAAAATGTACCATTCTTAGTCCCAATCTATACACAGCCTCTGTGGGAAATCTCTTTCCATTCCTTTCAAATTTCTTCTGCAGATCTTCTCCAAATCTCTCCATGATCATGAAGCGGTATTTTGTTCCATTTTTTTCACTGGATCCCATGGCTATAAATTTGGGAACCCCTAACACTTTCATTTTGTGCTTGGATTTCCATTGGTCAACTGTAAATCAAAATAACATGCGAAAGACCCAAAAATTTATTAGAAAGTTCATCTAGTAAGCAATAAAAACAACAAGGCAGCAAAGCTGTCAAATGTACAGACAAAAAGCAGGAAATAACAAAATAGGCTACTGTCAATTCTGATGCAAAAGTACATTATGTTAAACTGCAAATTCAGGTAATACCAATGTAAGTAATATGTGAAACAAGCATAAGGCTTCAGGCCCATGGGAGTTCAAGTTCACACTTTGAAAATGTAAAACTTCCAGAAAAAGAAGTCAATTAGAATGCTTTTCCAACTCAGGCTTCATTTTAGTCCTGTATTTCTTTTTTGAAAGTTTGGCAATCACAAGTAACATGGTTTTCCCATAATGGTCATCATGGCAGCAGCACCCAAAATTGTGTTTTCTTCTATTCTGATGCAATATTACATAATGGTTAACTGCATAATGACAATCAATTTTTAATTAAAAAAATATATGTATCATGGATTTTCAGAAAATGTGACTAGCCTGGGTCTTCAAGCCTGTGGAACTTCAAAGTCACACCTTGAAAATGCCAATATGTGAAAAATTAAATTTTCACAAAAAAACTGTTTAACTGGCAGATTGCATTGCCTACTGAAGCTGTATCTTAGTCCCATGTTTCTTTCCTATAAGTTTGAGAACAGTAAGTGACATGGTTTTTCTTAATAGGTAATCATGGGAGCAGTGCCCAAAATAGTTTTTTTTCAAATTTTGATGCAATATTACATAATGTTTAACAGCATAATGACCATCAATTTTTAATAATAAAATATTAGTATCATGGATATTCAGAAAATGTGACTAGCAAAGGTCTTCAGGCCCATGGAACTTCAAAGTCACAACTTGAAAATGCCAAAATGTAAACAAGACAGCAATCTGAACTGAAATGTTTTTTCCCCATTTATAACAATTTTTAACATAAAACAAAATTAACAGTTTACTGCCATTTTTATATGATCAACTNTAGGTCTTCAGGCCCATGGAACTTCAAAGTCAAAACTTGAAAATGCCAAAATGTAAACAAGACAGCACTGTTCTGAAATGTTTTTTCCCCCATTTTTAACAATTTTTAACATAAAACAAAATTAACAGTTTACTGCCATTTTTATATGATAAACTAAGAAAATTGATGAGATGGGAAAAATATCAATAGAGCAGTGTTAAATGTCCCATTTCCTCCATTCCAAGATTCTGAACATAGTGAATGATTGAATCTGACAAACTGCAATGATATGAGTTTATTTCCATTTTTGAAACTTTATTACACAATACACAATAACAAGTTTACCATCATTTTTACATAATCAACTAACAATGTTGTAAAGATGCAGGAAATGTCAAACAAACACTTTCACGTATCTTATTAGTTAAATAATGAGACTGTTAACATGCCTAAGAATTGAATCTCAGGAAATGTGAAAAAACAACATAACTTTTAAAATAATGGCCCAATTATACTGATTTTTGAACTTAACCTGCGTTTTAGCAAGATTGACCATTCCTGTGAGTTTAATGTCAATTGGCCTATCTGTTTTTCTTATATTGTGTTTACAGTGTTGCATATATGCTGAAAAGTGAAAAAAAAAGCATAACTACTAAAATAGTGGCCCGGTCATGCTGATTTTCGAACTTGACCTGCGTTTTAGTAAGAATGATTACTCCTGTGAGTTTTATGACGACAGGCCTATCGGTTTTCCTTGAAATGTGTTTACAGTGTTGCATATATGCTGAAAAGTGAAAAAACAGCATAACTACTACAATAATGGCCCGATCATGCTGATTTTCGAACTTGACCTGCATTTTATGAATATTCATCAGCTCTATAAATATAAAGCCAAAAAGTACAACTGCCTTCCACTTATCGTGTTTACAAGGAAAGTGCACGGCGCCGACGGCGACGGCGACGGCGACGACGGCGACGACAGACGCAGGTGACAGCAATATGTACAGACACATCTGTGTCTGTACATAAAAAACATTGTTTATAGCAATTTATACCTGAGGTGAGCATTTGTATATAAAAGCACATGGAATTGGGGGGTGGGACAACATTTTTGACCAATGTCTCTCTCTCTCTCTCTCTCTCTCTCTCTATATATATATATATATATATATATATATATATATGTGTGTGTGTGTGTGTGTGTGTGTGTGTGTGTATGTGTTCCTCTGTACCAGTATAATTCATGTAGAAGAATGGGGATGCAGAGTGGAAACGAGGGGTGGGGGTTGACTAATATCACCCCTACTTCAAATGCCATGTGGCAGAGCGAATGAGGAGTGGGTTGTAATGGTGAATTAATGCAACCAAAGGGCATTGACCAATTGCATAAACCTCATTATCTAAGGGCGTATTCCCAGAGCTTTTAGATCGATCTATCCCCGCGGGGAGTCACTACTGTCAGATAATCCGGCTTAAATTTCCGTCCCGCCTACTACAAGCTGTAAGGGGGTAATTAACTTTCGTGCCCGCTCGGCTGACAGCTATTTAGCGTGAACCCCAAGGGAGTTAGGTCGATCTAAAGTAGATCAATCTAATCTCTGGGAATGGGGTCTAAGCGTGTATTAACTCCCTATGACGACGAAAACACCGATGTACATGTACCTGTAATAGGAATGGTAGTCCTAGGAATAGAAGTCAGGGCTCCCATATGATAAGAATAGTTAAGGGTTATTTGGGCTATTGGAGTTAGTATATGGGACGAATGTCACCTGTACAAAGTAATGGGTAGCGGAATTCCATTCCTGTTACACCGGACCATATCTTGCACTCGTTTTCCCTGACATTTTGAATTATTTCCTTATTCCTTTAACCAAATGGCAGATTCCGCACTTATTCATTCCTGAGACGGAATAATTGCTCTATTGGTGAATCTTTATAAGAAAATATTTTGATTTATTGCATCTCCAAAACTGTCTGAACATCAAGTGAACCATTTGAAGGATTTACCACAAGAAGACAGTTAATTGCTGACAAACTGTCACCTGCTTCACAGATATTATACAGCATACAACATAAAAGCAGCGCTTTACAATATTACACCAGCATATAGCTGCAGATACATTTCTCACTGACCACAAATAGGTTAACCCAGTAACAGGTTGCTCATATGGCTTATTACGACTCTGATCTGTTCCATTTCACATATCTACAACGAAGGGTTCTTTGCGATGACACAGGAAATATTCATGAAATGAAATGAAATGTGCTAAATGACCACGAGGGTAGCATTATAGGCAGAGCCAGTTTGACGTGACCTGCATACATGTTAATTTGTTCATCTGTATGATAAAAAACAAATACTGTGATAAAGTGCTGAAAATGAAGAAACTCATGTGAGAACCAAGCGGGAAAAACAGATGAAGAAAGGCTATGCAGAAACATTTTAACATTAAAAAAATTCTTATAACCAATTTTAGATGATAGAAATGTCAGATTGAGATGAAGATTCTGATGTCGATCAGGAGCCTGAAATGTGGATTGAAAATAAAACGCTTACTGGAGGTAAGACAAAGAGAAAATGGTTGAAAACAAGATAAAATATAATTTAATTTTTAAAACAAGAGGTGGTGATGCCAACGTGATACACCCAAGTGAAGCAAGATGGATAGATAGATAGACAGATAGATAAAAATATATTATTTGGTTGGTTCAAAATAGAGGGAAATAAGAGGTCAGTTGATTGTGGTGAAACATAAATAAAAAGGAGAAATAGTTAAATAAAAGCTACGTAAATATTAAAAAAGGCAACTGGCATTGTAAAATGTCACTTCAGTGACCGGGGAATGACACATTTTGTCAATGAACTAGATGACAATGATCGAAAATATTCAGTTTTATTCTAGCTTACATTTCAGAGTGTAATTATGCTTATAAAACTATTTCAATGATAAATGAAATTGGATTTCCATAAGTATTTATCAATAACCTATTAAAAAGCAGCGCTTTATTTGATGTTTGATGTTTTTAATCTTGAAATAAGATAGCTTACATGAAACCGGTTTTATTATTCATGTTCAAAGATTATGGGAAAATGGAAGCTGCCCGACCTATCCACATAATTAGATATGCGAGGTTATTGCTATTTTCACTGTACCTCTCCGCATTTCAAGAAGCTTCAGATAAAAGAGAATACACTCTGAATGCTCTCTGAATATATGTCTGGATACATAACGTGGAGACTAAGAGGTTGGGTGTAAGCTGCTGCTGCTGCTACTACTACTACTACTACTACTACTACTACTATCATCCACAACCAAGTGGTCGTAATTGTACTATGTTTATTTTCTCCTATTTTTTCCACTTCTGTTGATATTCCGCAGGGTGAAAGCTAGCCGAAGTTAAGTAATGAACACGGCAATGTACGCCTTCGTAGCATTGACTGAAATGACCACATCATTTTTTTATGCTTTTTTCAGCATATATGCAACACTGATAACACATTTCGAGGAGAACCAATTAGCCTGTTGTCTTCCAACTCACAGGAGTGATCAGTCTGACTAATATACAGATCGAGTTTGAAAAAAAAGCTTGATCGGTTTAGTTTTGATGAAGTTATGCCTTTTTTGAATATACATGTAACTGGTTTTTCCTCAATTTTAATTCTTAGGCATGTTAACAGTCTCATTATTGAAATAATTAGATTCGTAGTGTTTTTTTATTTACATTTTCTGCATCTTAACAGTGTTAGTTGATTATATAAAATGATGGTAAACCTGTTATCGGGTATTGTGTAATTAAGTGTCAAAAATGGAAATAAACTCGTATCATTGCAGTTTGTCAGATTCAATCATTCACTATGTTCAGACTTTCAGCATGGATCAAATTGGACATTTAAAATTGTTCTATTGATATTTTTCCTATCTCGACAATTTTCTTAGTTAATAATAGAAAATATCAGTAAATTGATTATTCTCATTTATGTAAAAAGGTATCGAAAATGGAAATAAACTTTTTTCAGTACAGTTA